GCTAAGGGAAAGAAAACGTTCATATCTTTGCAGAGAACAAGAAGATATGACATTGAGCAAAGGGTCTCTGCCTGACACAGAAACAGTGTGGCACAAGTTTTTGCAAAAAGAAAGACGTTTCTTGTAGAGTTGACCAGCAAGGATGTCAGCATCAGAAATCTCCGATCTGCCTCTGTAATCACTTGATGTAGGGAGATTCATGGAAAGCAGCAGTGAGGAAGCTGTTTGTTGATTCGATGGCAAGAAGGGAGAGTTCTAAGATTCTTCTGAGCTGAGCTGACGTAGAGGGCCATCTCATCTCTTTATGAGTAACATGTTCTTTTTTTCAGAGAGGATTTATGTTCTGTGTGGAGGATTTTGAGCTTGTGATGTCAAACGGTTGACCTGAAAAGCTGGCTACTTTTGTGCACATGTATTCTTGAAACGCCTATTCCAAACCATGTTTGAGTTGATTCTGGAGGCTCTTCCTGAAAAACAACTTGAAGACTTTGTCATTAAGGAATTATGTCTCTGTGTGTCCAAATGTTACCCACTTTCAGGTACAACTTGCAGCCAGGCATCTAGGCTAAACTCCTAAAGAGAAAGGAATGTTCGTCACCCTATGTCTTGATGTTCACTTTTTAAAAGTTAAACAGGAAGGTTAAAGAACCCAAGGAAAGACACTGCTAGAATGTAAAAGTGAGTAGTCTTTTATTCAGGTTTTAAAAGGATTTGTGTCCATGTCAAAGAGACAGAGCAAGGATAATAGGGAGGCGTAGCGGTAGGGCATGATAGCACATGCCTACAATCCCAGTGCGCTGGGAATCTGAGGCTGGAAGATCACAAGTTGGAGTCTAGTTTGGGCAATGTAGTTAGTTAGGAAAATGCTGTCTCAAAATAAAAAATGAAAGAGTGCAAAACCCTGGGTTCAATCCCAGGTACTTGAAAAAAAAAAGTAATGATGGGAAATTTTTTTTAGTTTCAGAAGTGTGTGTGTGTGTGTGTGTGTGTGTTGCTTGTCCGTGTCTCTTCTAGAAATTCACCAAAAAGAAAGATGGAACTCAATACATTTCAAAATTTTTAAGAATCAAGTGGAAAAATGAATTGAAATAATAATTTTCATATTTTAAATCCATGGAAAGTTATTTTTAATTTTCTCATTACCATTTCATTCGTTGAAATCAGGGTGTGGAATTTTGTCACAGACAAACTTATGTATTCTTCTGAGTTCCATTATGTAGCTCATATTTCTGCAAAAGAAAGAAAATTGGACTTTTAATTCCCAGTACTTTTATGTGACCTTATTTAAAGATAACGGTCTTCACAGAGAAAATGAAATTCAAAGAAGGCTTTTAGGGACTTCTTCATAAAAGAAAGAAAAAGGTTGGACAGAATAAAAAATACAAGTGGAGAAAAATCAATATGAAGAGGTGCAGAGAAACAGGTAGAGTCCTCCATATGTGATCCAAGGTGAGAGGCCTACAACAGATCCTTTACCTGTAGTGCTCAGAAGGAACCAATTCTCCCAGTGACTTGATTCCAGACAATAAATTTCTGTTTTGTAAGATGCCTATTTGATATGTCTTTGTTATGGCAGCTCTACAAATTTTTTATGTTCCTTTCATTATATAGGAATCATTGATTTCCAACCAAATCACTAATTTCTAATGGTATGAAAACACTGCTAACTTTCAGTTTAGCTGTCTTCTGTATTTGTATACTGTCTAAAAGAGATAACTGTGTAGTAGAAAACTGATTTTTATTTTCAGCATCTCAGTGTATTCCCAGTAACATTTTTCTAGCTACTGTTGGCTGAGAGAGAAGTGGGTTTTTATCATTGCAAACATAATTGTGAGTGTCAGTGCAGTCTGTCTATAAGGAAATGCAGCTACACCGATACAGGTGAGGCATTCATCTTTAGAAACACAGTCCAGGTTCTAAATTAGGAAAAAATACCACCTTGGCTACTTATGGATCTTTTTGTTCCTCATTCAACTTTTAAAAAGGATTAAGTGTGAAATGTTAAACCATATGGGGCCTAGTTGCTTTACTATTGTGATGATTTATGACTTCCTTATAAAGCTTGTCTACTAATAAACACATGGTTTCTATTGGTATTAAAAAGTAATACTTTATAAGTGTTCTCTGGAAGTGATAACCGCTGAAGAGTATACACTGTGGGAGAAAAGACTGTTTACCCCTTGCATAACTCATGGCTGAGAGCCCCATAAAAAAAGACAAACAAGAGAAGAGCGTAACACATTTATTTCTTAATGTAAGTTTTGCACCATACGGGAGTCTTTGAAAGTGAATGCTTAAAGAAGCAAGGAAATCTACTATTTTCATTTGTACATTTAATGAAGAG